ACATTTTTGTTACTACCATGCAACCATTTCCTCAGATAATGTACACTTCATGTATGTGTGCACAAAACTGTCCACTCACTAAATTTATACAGACATCACTTCATTTCTAATTGAGGAAACTGAACATCTCGGAGTCTCCTAAGGAAAAGGGAGTCTTGACTTTCTTCACTCCTAATTCAGTCTTTTACCCAAGGATCCCATCTTCTTAGCTCACCTGAGAATCCTTTCTAACCTTGACATTCCAAAGGAGACTGCATAGGCCAGTGCTTTTGAATAGATAAACACTTCTCAGACATGACCCATAGAGGTGTTATTAATCTTGGTTTCCAAAGGTCTGAATTAAGACGGTCTATAGCATGTCTCATTAAAAGTCATTTTGAAAAAAAATGCAAGAAACACTAAAGACTCTCCCAATCCCATCCCAGTTCTCTGGTTCATTTTAAGATCTGCTAAAAGTATTGTCTCACATGACTGTGAACATTTTCCTTATGCTATAGGAATAACTTAGACACTCTCAAATGTAATAGATTTTTGGTGCAGGTGGATTTAAATAGGACGAGTTCTGTGAGCCTTCTTGATCTTCTAACCCAGTTTCTACCCATCCTTCCTTGGTGACATTTCTCTTCAAGATAATTCATTTATCATAACTCTTCATTCAATTGAAGTTAACTCAGCAAGGAATCAAGAAAGGGTGAAATCTAAGGCTTAGTGACTCATTACTACTTCCTTGCAGAGAAATGCAAATGAACCTACCCTTGAAACAAGCAGCAAACTGTTTCCTTTCATCATAAAGCTGTATGTAATGAGTTGCAAAAATCAAAATTCACATATAGTCCATAGCTCCATCACTAACTACCTTCAGCCACTATTTCCAGGCCGAGCATTGAATGGGTTTCATCAGGTGACCATTTAACCAGTTTCAAGGCACTTGCTCAGAACTCCATGCTTCCATGGGTAAGCCCCACTGTTTCTCAGCACAGGTTGAAAAAGGAAGTGACCCTGTTCTTTAAGCTCCGTTTTCCCCCTAAATACTTTTCAAAGTCTTGAAAAATGTTTCTTTACTTACCCGCCAAAAATATTTCCTGTTGGCATTCTTGGGAACTGTGTCATTGGTGTAGATTTCACCTATGAGGGGTCCAAACCGTGTTCCCTTTGGTATGTATTCTTTACTCAGCACTCCTATAACCTAAAGGGAAGGATAAGACATGAAATCATTACTCAAACTGTAAAATGTTAAGCAATCTTGTTATTTCAGTGGATCCAACTGTCAATTGGTAACCTAGCAAGACATTAATAATACCTATACAATTAGCAGTAAGCTTTACCATAGAAGAAGGTCATCTTTTAAAGTCTTAAGATTAAGAGAAAATACTCATCTGAGCATCTAGGGGATTATATGCAGCAACTGAGGGCTCTTAGTTTTTATTATTACTATTATGTTAGATGAGAGAAGATAGCATTCTGTTCTAAGAGACAGTCAAGATTAGACCATTTCAGCAGAGCTCCTGGTTCGCTACTTCTCATTCTCCTTCAAACCACATAGTATGCTCAAGGGGAATAAAGCAGTTTTAACCTTAAAAACCAAAATAGTGCTCCTTAGTTGTTCCACAGAGGCCAAAGGAATTAGAAACCAAGCACATTAAATTTTTTCATTCCAGATGAGTTTGTTTTTTCCCTCTCTTTCCCTTCTTCCTCTCATAGATTACAAGATCTCTTTAATAGAAGAAAGGACTTCCAAGCAACTTTTGTTCTTCTCTAACATCTCCTCAGCAGTGGTCAGAAGTCCTTCCTTGAAATGGAATTTTTACTGAGAAGTGCTGTGGTTCTAAGATCTGAGGAAATGACCATCTCAGATTGAAGGCATCATACATCTCGACTCTGCGGGGCCTTGCTAAAGAGCCATGTTAACTATGGCAGTTCTTCCTTGATCATAAATTTCTTTTTAGGGTATTAAAAAAGGTATCTACCAAAACCAGGAAGCAATTTATCATTATTCAAAATAACTCTGTGAGTAGTTCTTTAAATGTTTCACAGTAAAGATTTGTTTTGGTTTTTACTCTCTCACTTGCCCATTTTAATTTTCCTCTGGTTCAAAGCAGTAAGGCATACTTTACTGAAATGGACCAAGGGTGGGATAAACCTTATTTATTTCTAATTTTATTTTCTTTGACGGCTTCTGTATAATTATACACCTGAAATGGCAGATGTAGATTAGTGAATCAATGAATGTTCAGGTAGTTTACAGTGGAATCCAAAATTTTGGTTATAATATACACTGACACCCCATTCAATTTCATCAAAGTGAAACCTGTGTCTGATACGGAATAAACACATCCACATGGCTGGCACACACCAATCTTTCTCATGTCAGTTTCTTATCAGCAAGTGTCTTTTTTTCTTAAACGATTTAGTAGTCAATATATACGTTAACAGAGCATAGTTAAGACAGGGAAGAGAGAGAGAGGGAGGAATGGAGAAAGAGAGAGAGAGGGAGAGGGAGAGAGAAGGAGAGAGAGGGAGAGAGAGAAGAAAATTTTCTACACTCAACACAAGATGAAACAAGGCTGGTAAGTCAAGGGTTATTTTTGGTCCTTTACGAACTTTTGGCAAAGGTCTGAAAAAAGCAGATGTTCATTTCATCCTCCTCCTCTGCCCTCATTTACATCTATCTGCTTTTTCAAGAACAGTTCATTATTGGTATTTGTTAGGAGCACAAGTATTGGAGATAGGAGCATCTCAGAACAGAGACTCTTCAGCTAAAAATACATCCTGAAAGCTTGAGTAGCCCAACCTGATCACAGGCTTGTTGTTTAAGACCGATATTGAACCTAATTAATTTTTAAAATTCATGAAATTGACTTCTATAGCACACAAATTATTAGATATTTGCATTTGAGTGGTTATTCCATATTAAAATGACAAACAGGAAAAACAAATAATGCTATTTGTTGGTGAGCCAATAATTAGCAGCTGATATTTTCAACATATCCACTTTAAAGCAGTAATTTTAAGAAAGGTACTCAACTGGTTCATCAACTTTGTTTTAAATTACAGTGTCTTACAGACAGTGTCTTGGGAGTTGGAGCTTGATTACCAACAAGGAACATTACATTGAGGTCACGGTTTTCCTTCTAAATTGCCATTCTTCTACAGAATTGGCTTCTTGTTTTTCACCTATCAATCTTACACTAAGAAAACACACATTTTCTTGTGGCCAAAAAGAAATCAATTAGAATCTACTTCCTACAACAAGGGAAATCGGGGAAGGCCAGGCCATCTAGTACCTTTTGAGCACAACTGTGGCCTAGGCTCTGTAGGAGATATAAGTCAGTATTGGAAACACCTGTCTTGTAACCTTACAAATGTAACTGAGCAGGTGAGACATGGGAACAACTTAAAAAAGGTAGCCAAGGGTACTGGTGTGGCCTAAAATTCTTGCTACTATGGTGCCTGAGGCAAGAGGTTGGTGAGTTTGAGGCCAGCCTGCAAAACATAATGAGATCCCAGTCTCAAAAGACACACAAAAATACTGGCAGATTTGAATATGAAATGCCTAAGTCTGACAGAGTCAAAGAGCTTCAACGTTACATTATTTTTATGAATGAAACAGAACACTAATATTTTGAATTACTATTATATACAGAGCTATAGAGCACAGACAACACCTACACATAAACAGAGACACAAAATTACAGCATTCTGAAGGTAGAAGGAATCCTGTAGCTTATAAGTCATCCATCTACCACCAGGTGTGGTGGTGCACACCTGTAATCCTGGCACTTAGGAGGCAGGAGGGTCACTAGATCAAGGCCAGCATTGGCCACGGCATTGAGTTCCAGGCTAGTCCGGGTTTTATGTATGGCAAGATTCCACCTCAGAAAGTAACAATAAAAAAGTAAGCTATCTATATCCATTCCATGCTAATAATGCACAATAAATGTTTTCATGCCAAATCATGTCCAAGATATTATTCAAAGAAGACATAAAAACTCAACTCTACATTATGGGGCTTGTTTGGTCTCTTTGGATGTGGATAGGAATCAGAGTTGTTCTTAACAGGAAGTAAAAAAACCAAGATAGAGGTCTATCTCTGGTCCTAAAGATCCAGATGAGTCTTAGCCACCTCATCTTCCTAACCCATCGTTACAACATTCTGTCCTAGGAACAAGTGAACAGTTGTACAGGGAAACCTGGCCTGTGCTTTGAATTTCACAGTACTAAAAAACTAACTCACCTAACTCAGGAAGGAAACTTCACTGGAACTGACCAGGGTCCTAAAGAATTGCTGCTGGGGACCAGCTACTGAGTGCCTTTATAAACTTACCAGCGAGAGGAAGCTTCCTCGTGCCCATGCTTCAGCTGCCCCCACAGAAGCCCTTCAGGCTTGCCTTATGTGCTGAGTAGACCCCTCTGACATCTGAGCACATCTGTCTCTGTCAGCAGCTTTGGCTATAGAAACACACACTGTCTGTAGCTTTTAGACAAAAACCAGGGCTTCTTTTTAACTTTACGAAATGAAGATTTTACAGTGCAGGATGGGTTAAATGGGAGTACTTGACAATATAGTTTTGTTTGTTTGTTTGCTTTAAAAACAAATCACTCCTTTAGAGTGTATGCAATATTCAAACACACATAGAAAGCATGAGGGTTTTAAGAAGAAACATTAGTCAGGTCTGAATGTGATCTGAGCATTCTCATCTCAAATTACATTAAGATTATATTAATTAATAGCTATCTCCTCTTCCCCCAAATCCCACTCAATAAAAATGACTCATTAGGTTGTATGGAAATGACTAGAACGCTGTAGTAGACCAAGATGTCAGTCTTGAAGTCATTCCATTTTTTCAAAGGAATGAAAAGGGTTTTTTTGAAAGGTTTTCTCCTTCATATCTTTATATTAAAAGAAACACGGTTAATACTTTGACATCTACTCCCAAATAAAAGAATTCGAAGGTGGGACTGCATGTTGTGGTGAGTTCTTTTACAGAGGGCTTAAGTTAACATTGGATTTCAATCAGAAAAGACACCGTGTAAGTCCCCAAGAACTGCCTGATGTTTGTCAGTGCTCCAGGTCCGATTCAGAGGAAGCCACAGTGCCCCTTGAGGACAAGCAACCTCAGCCGACAGCAGAAACTTGCTCGGGATGCTGCTCCTGAACTACCAATGTCAAAATAAAATTTTGTGTAGTCAAGTGTTCACAGAAGATTATTTCAGGAGGTCAAGGGGAAAATCCCCACAAAAGAATAACCATCAGTTTAAAAGTTTGAAAAAGCAGGTCTATATTTGGCTTTAGTTCTGGAAATAGGAAGTAAGAACAGCCTCATTAAAAGTGTAGAGTGATTCTAAGCCAAATCTAAAAATGAAGGTCAAGATGAGAAATATGGTTTGTATGTTTTGTTTTTAAACCAAAGGAAAAAAAAAGGTGCTGACACATAGCACAAATTCATAGTGAAAAATGATCTTGTTAAAAAAAAATTCCCCAGGATGTCAGCACAGAGTACATAAAGAAACATCTTCTGCTAGTTTAATGAAAACATTTAAAGACGGGCAAGATAAATCAGTAAGATAAAAACTACACGTAGAAAGGCTTTTTCCCTGTTTCCATGGCTCATGGGACTTACAGAACTAACTGAATAATGATAATGTAAACATTTCATTGATCCTAAATGCTTCTGTCCTGGAACTGGTCTGTAGCTATCACAACCTCCAGGGCTCAATCCCACCACCCTCTTTCAGCACCTCAGGGAGCTGTCCCAAAGTTCAAAGCAGAAGAAACAGAAAAAAAGGTACAAATTATGGTGTACACTTCAGACAAGATGATTTTATTTTGTTTCCTTGTGGCTTTTATGATTAGGGACTGAAGAGGAACCACTCCCTATTCAAGTGTTTCACTGAGTAAAATGTGGGGAAACAGGATGAAAGAACTCTGGCCTCCTGTTTGTTTTGAAGGACCCCATTCAAGAACATAGGTGAGGTCTCTTTTAATTGCTTAATATACAGAAATTGAGTTATACATTCAGAGGCAAAAATAAAATACCCCCCACCAAGTTTAATAAAAAATGGGTCTGAACTATGTTAAGATGATAAATAAAACCACAGTGACACCAAGAGGGGCCAGTGTAGCATGCTCTATCTAGAAGCACCTGGAGAAGCCAGAAGAACTTTGCTCCCAGTCCTTCGGCCAGGCTCTAACTATAGCCTTTGGGCAAGCTGACTATCTCTCTGAACCTTGAACTAAATGATCTAACAGCATAACGACTCAGCTATGATTTTCAGTAGAATGACGAAAATTGAAAACTTAAGAGCAGAACTGAGAAGAATATGTGAGCACTGAAAAGCAGATGACCCACAGAATGGAGGCTTTCATCTCAACCCCCATGGGCTGCAGAGGACACCATGAAACAAATGAACCTTCTGAGTAGACCAATATGTAGTCAAATCTGATGTGGCAAAAACACACTACACCTTTTAAAGCCACAGCCAAGCCTTAAATACCCAAACAAATGCTACACGGGCTCCAAGGGCCACATATTAAGAGACTTTCCTATTGAGAAGAGCATTACTTTCAGGAAGAGGTATAATTAAGGCTGACCTCTGGGGTTAAATTTTTGGTAAAATTCACATACAACTACAATTTAAATTCTGCTCTTTACAAATCTAGCACTACTTTCCCAGCAGACTGCACCCAAACAAAAAGTTGAGCTTCAGTGAAACTCAGGGCAGAATTGCTCACTTCAATTTTAGATAGCTGTGCCTCTTGATCAGAGACACTGAACTCAGACAAACAGGAAAGAGACGAAGTGTTTCCCAAACAGACTCACAGATTCCTCTTCATCTTGTTCCTAGGGAAGGGATAAAGTGATTTGATATGGCCGTAATGAATACTTCCAGCAAAAAACCTGCAAGTCTTACAACACGCGATCCCCTTTTCACTGCTTCCCAAAGGCAGTGTGGAACTGCTAGCACCCTGTGGTAGTGGTGGCAAGTCGGCTGAGGGCGATATTCCTTCATCTTAGCCCAACAGCAGATCAGGGAGAGCAACTGCTGTAGCTAAATTCTCAAAACAAGAGGTGGTTCTACAAGTTACTTCACAGCTAAACATCACACCTAGCTATAATTGTTATATAAAGGATAAACACAAATCAGTTGCTCATTCCAAGTTTAGGTGTTCGGTCCCTTTGAAAGCAACAAAGCGTGTACCCACTTCAGAGGCCACACGAAGGAATGGGCCTGCCAGCCTGGCCAGGGCAAAGGAGCTGCCGCAGATAAACAGTGGTTGGTGAAGTCATCCTGACAGAGGACACTTTTACGTGACCTTCTTCCCGGTTTATGCCATCAGTTCAGTTCATAAACACGTCAAGGTTTTGAGAATAATTTTAGAAACCCAGCTAATAAAGCTGGCTCGTTAAAAAGAATAAAGCCATCTCATGAGCAAAGGGAGGCAATAGAATACTTTTTCCCTAAGAAAATGTTTTCTTCCTTAAAAGCTACTGTACAATGCAGTGCAGTGGGTGCAGTTTTCCTGAAGCTCCCTTCCAATGCTGCCCAAGCCAGCTCTTCCAAGATTATGTCAATTTGCCAAAAGATTTAACAGTTTACTAATTAGTATAGAACAGCTGAAGGCCAAAGGAAAAATGAAAAGGAGCTGACTTAAAGAGAAAGCAATGAAAAAGTGAATCAAGTGATCAGTTATTTACCAAAGTGCACAGATTCTCATGGTTCTCAGAGACAGACAACTCCTCAAGGGCCAGGAGGGCGAGATGGTACCAGGCGCCAGGCAATCTTGGCAATAAGGCAGAAGCTTACCTCTTTGCTGTTGTTGGTGGCAAACTTGAAAAGCAGATTCCTTGGTAAGGATGCCTCTGCTTGAATGGAGGTCCCTCCATCGGTGCCAGAATCCCAGGGGTGGTCGTTCACTATGTATGTGCACTTCTCTTCAAACTCGGCCTCTGTCCACAGAGTCATGTCCGCGACTTCCATGTCCATTTTCATGTTCTCCTCAGTTCTCTCTGCCAACCCTTGAAACTTCCCTGAGCTGGAGCTACACTTGAGGGCAGGCTGGAAGAGAAGGGAAAGGCTTTTAATCCCCATTGTCCTGCCGTTCCTGTGGCTCCCTCCGAGAGTATGACTAATAGAGTAGTCTGAAGACTTTCAAAGCAGATGCAGAGTGCTTGTACAGTTGAGTAAGAGCCAAAAAGCCAAATAAAGTAGGCTGCCTTGAAGAAGCCCAGTTTGAAAACGCAACTTTTGGTTGGGGAAAAGACCAACCAAACAAACAAAAAGAATGTGGCAACCGCTTTGGGAGAAAAAGAGCAGCTAGCTACCTTTGAAGAATCCTTGGCTTCGCTTCTCACGGCAGAAATATGTTGTGGGCGCTGAGTCCTGTGTCCCAGAACGCCTGGGGTCATGGCCGCCAGACCCTCAGCGCTGTGGAAAAGCTGCCTCAGAAAGTGTCACAAACAAGGAGAGGAAGAGGAAGGAGCTCTGTCTGCCTCTGAATGAAGCTAAAAATGGAAAGCGCGTGTGGTGCAGGAGCGGAACCCAGCCTGCGTTTTCCAAATGGGGAAGACTGAACTTTCCCACCAGCTCCCAACTCGAAACGACTTTCAAAACAACTGCCCCCCCTCCTCCGCCGCCGCCGCGCGCTTTCATCCTCTCGCACGTTAGACCTGGAGGGGTTGCATCCTGCCAGCATCACTGAGCACCAGCACCAGCCTTCCCGAGCTCCTTTGGACCACAGGAAAAGAGGAGGGGAAACCGGTGGAGGGAAAAACACCCCAGAGCTTTTATTGGAACAGCGGGCATCTCAAGCCAGATAGAAAAAGTAAAAACAAAACACGAAACTATTCAATAGAATTCCCTGAAGAGAATTCCTTTAGGAGTCCTCAGCTACAAATAGGACTTTCCATTTAAATCTGAAAGTGTACAGATTCCCAGAAGTCACTAATGTGCCACAGTGCACTGTAACCAAAGTTATTATCATACATACAGAAGATTCGGGGAATGAATTCCACGGTTAGTCCCGAAATCTGCCCTCATACTCGGAAAAAGCGCTTTCCAGAGAGGAGAGAGAGAGAGAGAGAGAGAGAGAGAGAGAGAGAGAGAGAGAATAAACAGTTTCTGCAACGCATTCCCACACAGACGGGATGGAGAGGCATTAGGCATGGGGTGTCTGTCCATGTAAGAACACGCGCTTGTTAAAACGTCAACATCAAGCTGCGGGAGTCCCTCGAGGTGGCTTTTACATTTTCTCACGTCTTCTCTAAATATGATGCTCTTAGAAAAAAGATGGTCAGCTGTCTTTGCCCCAGTTACAACTTAATCTTATTTTTGCTTCGTTCCAACATGTAGGGTCATGATGACAAATAAATGTTAAAGTAAAATAGAATTGAAACCCTAAGCCAACCCTGAGTAGTGACTTTATTGGCAGAGGGCGAGGGTAGGTGGTCAAGAGCCACTACTGAAATTTCACTGAGTTGACGATTATGTCTAGAACTGAAAGAGTTAATGATTCATAAGGGAAAAGTCGTCTAAATGTTTGACAGTACTCAGCGCACTAAAGCACAGCACGTTTCTACTGCGCCTACATTATATAAAAAAGAAAAGAATAAAGGAAAGAAAAGTTTTCAAATCCTATTAAAAATAAAAATAAAATCAAGTTCCTTACCAAGGTCGTACCCACACGTTTTTCCAAGCGGAGATCCAACATCTGAGCTAAGTGTGGCTCAGGTCCACCCAGTCCACATTCTCCCGCGTCCCCAGCCGGCTGAGCAGCACGGACGCGCACGGCGGCAGTCAGTCCTTTCCTACCGCGGCCGCCCGGGTCCCGGCTGTGCGCGCACAGGTGCTGCGCGCTGCTCTTGCGTCTCGGCGACACTGGAGGGCCGGAGCGTCCAGGCAGCTCTGTCTGTGTCAAGCCGCGCGCCGGCTCTTCCCCCTCCGGATTTCATTACCCACTGACTGGTCTGATTCACTCCTACCCGCTGCCTGAGTGGGGGCGTGGCCGCACCTGGCCTGCCGCGCCGCGCGGGGCGCAGGGCTTTCCCCCCCGGATTGCGAGCCGCCGTCAGCTTCCTCTCTCTGCTTATGAATTTCAACATTTACTTGGAATCTTCTGACTTCCCTTTGAAGGCGCTCACCCTCAACGTTTACTCGCGCTGCAATTGTATTCTAAATACTCCAGATCGCCCAGCTTCCTGTCTCGGCAGAATGGGGTGGGGAGGGGAGGGGGTCGGAGGGGCACGCTCCTTAAAAGAAGAAAACCTAAAAATGGCCCCAACGCGGAGTACTTTCTCCCCTCGAATCCTCAGGTACAGGATACGATTTACTTGGAAGGAGCAAGTTAAACTGTTTTTACACCCTGTACAATCCGAGGTAGATGACAAGTTCTGGAGTTATTGTCTATGAAGTATACTAAAGCATTTATGCCCCGCTCTTGAAACTGGTAAGATTTCATCTCTCCTGCTAACTGAGTACATTCAAATTTTGTACAGCCAACTTCCCTCTTTCAGCTATTTGGTCAATAAGGGAAACAGGAAAAAGTTATAATCATATGTATTGGGTTTTTGTTGTTGTTCTTCCTCTTCTCCCTAAACCCACAGCCAGACGTGAGTGTGTATGTACAATGGAGAGCATTAATGGTTTCACGGTTAAAAGGGGAATATTGAACTGATCACTCCAAGTGGAGAGCTGTGGGAGGCAGTAATTAGTGGAGCTTGTTCTGAGACTGGCTGGCTTTTCCTCCAGCCCCAGTCAGTCCTCTGCCGAAGGAAGGGCATCCTGTGATGATGGCATACAATGTCCTGTTTGTTTATTATTAAGAGCGTGGACCTTGCATTCCTGCTTCTCATTACAAAACAAACCAGATGCTTTACTTCCTTCAATGGTCTTGTGCCTTCAGCAAGGAATCCTCTAATTCAGAGAAACAATGATGCGAAGGCCCATTAATAGCCAGCACCCCATTACAAGTCCTGTTTAGGTCACTGCAACCCAAGTCGTCCACTTTTCCTGCTTGCCTCATCACAGGATGTTTCCTTCTTTGTTTGTTTGTTTGTTTGCTTGCTTGCTTTGTTTATCATCATTTCTCTTTCAACCTTAGGCTGCAGTGTCTTTTCTAGCATTTTTAAATACACATGTGCGCCTACACGCACTCCCACATCTATACATACACACCCACATCCACACACCCAGTGGCAACTTAGTCATACAGTGAAGTGGACATTTGAGTATTTGTTTACAGGAAGAAATGAAACAAAGCAAAACCAGCCCAACTCAATCACAAAGACAGGTTTGTGTTTCTTTAAATTTTCTTTCAGGAAACTTTCCTAGAATTTTTTTTTTCGGAGCGGGGGAGGTAAAAGATTATAGACCAAAGTGTATTCATGTCTCTCCGTAGTTCAGAATGATAAAATTCCCACTAGGGGACATGAGTAACACATACTCTGCTGGCTGGCCATCCACCTGTTATTACAAGTTATGCCAGAGGGGACGCTAGTGCCAAGAGGAAACAGGGCTGTTAGGTGGCTTTTGTGCCAGTATAAAACTGAAAGAACAATTCTTGAGGGTTCTCAGAAAGCTCCAAGATGATAATTAAACAAAAGAGATTCAGCCTTCTCCAGAGGGTTTATTAGCTGATGCTGAGTCAGCACCACAATGGACAGAAAAACAATGTAGTCATACCAGAGCTTGGCCTGCTGCTCACTGTCCCCACTGCACATCAGTTAACACATTTTTCACTTCCCTTTCAGAATAAAGTCTGCTTTTGGCCCACAGATATCATGCAAGTGCCAGTGACTAGGCAAAAGGGTACCAGTCAAGGTGGGAAGACGGCTATTTTAAGCCAAATATTTGCTTTTAATGACTGTAAGATGCCAGTGAATCAACTCACTGTTAATTAATATCAGCCTGCACTTACCTTCAGAGGTGGTGAAATGGGCTTGAGCCTAAGGAGGACGCAAACATCAAATACCAGTGTGCGGCTTAGCTAGGCAACCCTAAAATTAGTTCCAGGTGTCCTAGCTAAGCTGGACAAGGCCATAGGTGGAACTTTAAGGAAGGTAGATTTTGAGACACACTGTTGGAATATAATATCCTTTGAATGTTTGCTTCTTGTCTCAAAGTGACAGGAAAAAAGCAAAACAGCTCCAGGCCAAGTTTTTGATGATGATTATGGCAGTTAAAGACAGGCAATAGTATAATTTAAAATGAAGGGCACGAAAAAGAAGAGATAGAAAAGGAAGCAAGATCCATAAGCAGAAAAGCCATGTTTGTATTATAATATTTAGGTATTGCCCCATGCAGAATTGCTAAGGATGGGAAGAAAGGGCTGGCCTTGTAAGCCTCACCCAGCCCTTCCAAAAGGCCTGAGAAGCACACAGCTAGAAGCTGGGAAGTGCTGCCTCCGGTACTCTGCAGGAACTATCTGTGGCTGCCACAGTCTGGAATCTGAAGTCTCAAAATGTCTGTTCTAAGTAATAAGCGGGTGCATTTTTAGTCACCATATTATCTTCCCCAGTGTTCGAACACCAAAAACCCCTCATCAGTTGCCTTTATTAATCAGCCTTTCTCAGGCAGAGTCCTTTCATTAAGAGTGTTTGCAATGGCAGCAAATCACAAATGATCCAAATAGCTCTGTTTTCAGAAATCTTGATCTATTCCTTTTGATGCAAGCTGAATTCACTCAGTTTCAGCCCCCTCCACATCCTTCCTCCCTCTCCAGTCCCTGGGTGGGTTGGGAATAGCAGTGTAGGTGGCCAGATGACTGTATAGGGAAGAGGACTATGGTAACTATTGTAGCATGAAGGGAAATTGAGTACCAAATCTGGAGACCTGACTCTGCTCTGGTTAGACTTTTTTTTTCTTTCTTAAAGAAAGTAAAAATGGGATGAAATATGCTTAAGATGAAACATGTTTTCATTTTCTAATTCAACTCCTGCTATACCCAAACAAGGTCAATGACAGACTAACCACATCAATAGAACACCCCCCCACCCCCTTCTCCTGACTCCCTACCCACCCACACCCACTCTCACCCCCCACACCCATTTCCCACTTCCTGTAAGTTAGGCATCTTCATGCTGGTAAACATTTGGGGACCAACTGTAAGCCTGAGCCTAAAAGAGGGGCACTGTGGCTTTGAAGCCCTCCCACATGTCTCAAAGCCAGGCGGAGAACTTAGAGGGACATTGGTTTTTAAACCTTAACGGCCTTTCCAGCTCCAGTCACTGGCCTTGGTTTTTCTGGCTGCCTTCCTTTTTAAAAGGCAGAGAAGAACAAACGTGTGTGTGAGTGAGAGAGAATGTATGTATGACACATGCTTGTGTTACAATGCAGCGTGTGTGTCATTGGTGTGATATGTGTATGATATGTTTCAATGATGTGTTAAATCAATTTAAAAATAGCACAAGCTTCCTTCTTAGGACACATCTTACCTCCCCAAAACTCTGACAAACATTTTCAGGGCCTAAGCTTTGGAATGGTGATCCTAGGAACGTGTGGGATGTTTTATAATGATGTCAATGTTTTGACTTCCAAAATGAGGAAAACAAAAAATTAAGTAAATCGAAAAGCCAAAGTAAAACTCTCTTCTCTCTCTAGGAATGTAGCAAAGATAAGGGTTCTCCTAAGGCCTGTAAAAACCTTCAGGGTGTCTGGAGTCTCAGGGCTCCACACACCACCCACATCATGACACCTAAGCATATTTTTGGTCCTGTCAGCAGACTCATGATTTTATTTTTATTGAAACATTCACACATTTTAAAATTTTTCCTTCAGTTTGATATCTACCAATTTGACAAAACCAGCACTAATAATCATCTTCATGGCATTTGTTAGAGAATCAGTATGGGTTTATAATATCTGATTTCTAATCATGTTTTTATTATGGTGATTCAGACATTAGAGGGATTCAAATTCCTGAAAAGGCTGTGGGAGAGGCAATCGTTTCTGATCCCAAAAGTCATTTTCTACTCTGAATTTGGTAGGAAAAGAAATGAGCCTGAACTAACAGAAGGCAGAGCACAGACCCTCAGGACAAGAGGACTGTCAGGGCAGGTGCACGCCCTGAAATGTAGCTTCCTCTTACCTCTTTTCAATGTCTGGAGGGAGGAGGGCTAGCTTTCATACCAACAAAATCCTGTGACAAAGGTTTGCCTCTCTTTCAGTGGAAAGAGAGGCCTGGACACAAGAGGGGAGGTCTCACAGTGAAAAGAAAAAGAAAGTGGTGGGTTCAATTCCTAGCACTACACATAAAGTAGGTAAAGTGGCACTTGCCTGTAATTTTAGTACATGGGAGGTAGAGGCAGGGAGGATCAGAAATTCAAGGCTATTCTCAGCTCCGTAGTAAGCCGATTTGCTCGCCTACTCATAAGCATGCACACATGTGGATATACATACCAGGGGGCAGACAGAATTAAAAGAGCAGTAATGAAATCTTTGAATCATTCCTCCACCCCTATGCATGCATGGATTCTACTCCAAGAGATTCTGTACTCGAGTTGAAGACCACAGATCTAGAATAATACCCCACTTTGCTGCCAGGAAAACTGAGGGCCAGAGATCAAGAAGCTTAGAAAGTACATATCTCCAGGGTCTGGCGTGGTGGCACAAGCCTTTAATTCCAGCAGAGGCAGAGGCAGGCAGATCTCTGTGAGTTCAAGGCCAGTCTGGTCTACATAGTGAGTTCCAGGACAGCTCAGGCTACAAGGAGACCCTGTCTCAAAAAGACAAAAACAAAAACAAAAACAAAACAAACAAAAAAGAGTTCAGGGTCATCCTTACCTACATAGTGAGTTGGAGATGAGGTGTGACCCAGTGTGCAATGTCTGTGGAGGCCAGAAGAAGGTATTGGATCCCCTGGAACTGGAGTTATGTATGGTTTTTAGCTTCCCATGTGGTGCTGGGAACTGAACCAGGCTCCTCTATAAGAGCGGGCAGTGCTCTTAA